CAAAGTTTTTGCTTCACGTATTATACTAACATTAATAATATAATTTAACTTCTAAAACGTTTGCTCGTGTAAAATTACATTAAAATTTGATAACTGAAATTGCATTACGGAACACGGAGCCGAAAGCACTTTAAATAATTTTAACCACAAACGACATAAAGTTACGTTCTGGCTACGTTTACGATGACCGTTCTTTGTTTTGCTGTTACCAATTGAATCTTCTGGTTGCGAATCACTTTTTGAATTGCCTTTAAGCCTTGTTCGGACTAGGCGAGTATCTTAGTCGAGTACCGAGTAATTTAGTAGCGAAATGTGTCTGAACACCAAAAATTTAGTCGAGTAGGTTCGTAAATAGTTTAATCAAGTCAATCCATATATATCTAAATAAATATATGTGTATGTGTATATGCATATATATGTATATTTATATGTGTATGTATATATATATTTCACTGGATTGCTACACTCGTAAAGCGATAAGACTGCCAATTGTAACTTTTTTGTGTTTAATGTATCGCATTGTTTATTTAGTTTTTGGTGTACAATAAAGTATACTCTCTCTCTCCCTCTATTTATTTATTTATTTATTTCAGATTTTGCATCCATATTACATATATATATATATATCTATAAATATCCTCCGTGTTTTATTCATTTTTTCTTTCCCTGCCTTATAGCTGGTAGCCTAAGAGGCTATTTCAGCTTCGCCCGGACGAGTAGGAGAGAGAGCTCACGGGCTCAACCTGAGAGAATTTGCTTACACTAGCCCCAGCAAGAGTAGTGCTTCGCAGAATCTACCACCGGATCGGAATTGCAACCCACTGAGAAAATCGGATGAGAAACTCAGTGGGCTAAATTTAGACGTTTTAATAGGCATTTTACGAGTCACTGTGATCTGTGTAGATACATTCCGTTGCAGATTTTATCCTGTACACGCGTCTTAAAACCGAAACTTATTGGATAAATTGTTACAATCTTGACCGCTATGAGAGAGAGAGAGAGAGAGAGTGAATACACTTTATTGCACACCAAAACACAATTTACATTCAAAAAATAATCAAAAAAAGCAGATACATTTGTACAATAGGCGGTCTTATCGCTAAAAGCGATCTCTTCCAGACAACCGTTTAATTTATAGAAATTCTGGGAAATATAAAAAAATATAGCAGGTATGTTGCGGTGTACTATAGATAATACATTATAGAAAATATATACATACAATAAACAAAATATATACCGTTTACATATAATATGAAATATATACCAATAATTATATACCAATTATATACCAATATACATACATACTTACATACAATACATACTAATATACTTACATAATACATCAACAGTATGGAAATAATAAATGATGATGCAAACAAACAGCAGTAAGCAAATAAGTAGTGTTCCTTCACCATTCTTTTAAAACAGTTTAAAGTTGGAGCACTTCTCACTGCATCCGGCAGAGCATTCCACAATCGAACCGCCTGGACGCTGAATGAATGATCAAAGAATGATGATGAATGCGCCGGCATTTTCAGTCTCAGGCTATCCGATCCGATATCAGGGAAAAATTATGCGTATCACGTAGGAACTCGAAACGTTCTTTGAGATATGTGGGGGCATGGGGGTTAAAGAGAGTACAGTATAGTAATGAAAGGACATGAGTATTGCGGCGAAGGCGAATTGGTAACCACTTGAGTTTAGTGCGAAATTCAGATACATGATCATATTTCCGTAAACCAAATATGAATCTTATGCAGAAATTTTGTAGCCGCTCAAGTTTATCAAGTTGTGTTTCAGTTAAATCAGTATANCATATATTTCGCAATAGTCATAACATAGCGTGACGGGATTCACTAGTATGTACACTAAATCGTCTAAACAAAAACAGGACTTAATATTTATAATTTAATTATAATTAACTATCTGTTTGTTTGTATTTTTATTCAGACAAAAAAAATACTAACTCGATTTTCAATGAATATATATTTTTTTTAATTCTATAATTAAGTACGTTTAAAATTTAGGATAAATATCTGGCTATAAAGACAGTAATAGATAACAAGGTAGTTGTAACGTAAATCGCCATGGGAAGAATATTCATAATATTAATGCAAATCAACAGATGTATAACCACGCGAAATACCGAATTATCTCTAAAACTGAATATCTATCTGCATCACGTATTTTCTAAACATGAAATATTTAATTTACAAAATAAAATGCTTTATTAAGAGTCCCTCACGTCTATACCCTTTCTTCGTTTCTATTTTGTAAATCCAATAATGCGGAACGCGCGAAAACGAAGGATGAAATTGCAAAATAATTTTATACGGAGTCTTAAAGCAAACATTTTTTCATCTATACTTCTATACTAATATTATAAAGCTGAAGAGTTTGTTTGTTTGAACGCGCTAATCTCAGGAACTACTGGTCCGATTTGAAAAATTCTTTCAGTGTTAGATAGCCCATTTATCGAGGAAGGCTAGGCTATATATAAGCTATATAACATCACGCTAAGACCAATACAAGCGGAACACCAATAAAGAATGTTTCAAAATCGGGGTTTTTTTCCCTTTTGAGGGCTTCCGCCGCGTGCGCTGCAAAAACGATTAAAGTTTCGCTAAAATAATGTGTGACAGAACTGTTCCCCTTTAAAATATCTAAATAAAAAGTCCGCGACAGCATATGTCTATATGTCAAGGTTGCCTCACTATAACGTTTTTTATGCTGACCAAATTTGTTCTAAAATAAAGCATTATTTGTGAACTATTCCACGCGGACGAAGTCGCGGGCAAAAGCTATTTTTATTATACGTCCCATAGTACAATATTTTGTTTTACTGAGGAGGAGCATCTTGTAGGTAGGTAGGTACCACCACTCCACGTATTTCGGCTGTGAAGCAGTACTGCGTTTCGGTTTGAACGATGGGGCGGCCGTTGTACTGTAAAAACTGCCCTTAGAACGCATGTCGCAAGATGGGTGGCGGCATTTATGTTGTAGATAGTCTATGGGCTCCAGTAACCACTTAACACTAAGTGATGAGATCGTTCACTCGTCTGCGCTAAACATAAGAAAAAAACAATATTGTGGCTGCATAAATAAATAAAAAATACTTTCACAAATTACCTCAGTAAAATTTCTAGAACATTCTGCATTCGGAAGTCTTGAAGGAATGCCGCTGTATTTAACGAACAACGGTGATAGCATCTCACATCTAGATCCGGCCTGTATTCCCTCTGAAAATATCTTAAAACAGATGCTAGAGGAACCACTTTGCTTAATATGTAAGTCCTACTGGAGTTAATTGGTCCCTTCATCTAAAGGCAAGGTTCGGATGAGATAAAACTGGAAAGCACTAGCTATCAGGTGGCAGGGCGTCCTGTGAGCCGGCAGACGGACCGTGAGGTCATTCGCCTAACTATGTTATAAATATATTCCTAATTCCTTCTCCATCTCCTTCATCTCAATTACAAGCGACAGGACATTTTGCAAGGTTCCACAGGTTTTTTTTATTGCCCTTATACGCAGACGAGCATATGGCCCTCTCCGCAAGGTGGATAATAGATTTCGGTTTTAATGATAGAACGGGCTTCAACGCAGTGTAAAAACATGGTAGGATGAACTTAGTAGAGACGGCTAGGCTGCAGTGATCTCCTAATAACACGTGTGGCGTAGATCCTAACGTAAAATAGTTAAAAACGCCTACCGGAAACACGGTTTCTCTTTCCTTTCTTGGTAATCCTCTTCTTTACTTCTTTTTTAAACCTCACCCTTTTCTTTTTCTTATTGTATCTGATAAAAATGCAACCAAATTCAAACCTAACTGGAATAGCAGCTAAGGCTCAAGAATGGGGCGGGAGTAGTACTACATCAAAATAAAACAAAGTTAACAATTAAACTCTTTAATGAAACATTTCACACGGGACTACCTTCTGAGGCAACAACGATGTCCACAAAACTTGCAGCCAGGGCTCCTTGACCTTCGGCTTCCCGGCGACAATCTCGTGAAAATGGTCGAGACAGACAGGTCCCTCTTCCTGGTCACCTTTGGCCTTCGCTTTTGAACTCTATGCACCAGCTGACGTCTCGTCTCCGAACGCTTTCTCTTATTCACTTTGCCGTGACGATGCTTCTCCGGTCGTGATCTTCTCCGGCTCTTCCGATCTACTGTCTTCATTTCTTTTTTTCCTATTGGCTTCGGTACGTCAGCCCGTACGCGGGCCATATCGAGCCCGCTGACTCCGGAATATGAAGTCAAAGACCACGAGCATTCAGAGCCTGGATCGTTGGGGTTTTTTTCGCGCGTGTCGTGATCCGAGTTCTCATTTTGGCTGTCCTTTTTACTGGTGTTGGGTTCAGCCTCTTTGTTACTCTCGTCACCCATTCCCATTCTTTTTAAAATGTAACTAATAATTTTGCTATGTTTGAAATTCAAATATCAGAAAACAAAAAGAAAATTACTTCCAAAAATTCTCGGAAAGAAAAACCTAAAAAGAATCAATGTAGACATTTAATTTTGCTTGTTCTGTCAAAAAAATTTGCTGTCACAGTTTAGTTTTTTCGTCGAAGAAGTTTCCGTGACGCGAATGATGGATTTCTATGTTCACGCATAAAAAGGAAAAATTCCATATTTCAATTGAAAATATTCGAGGCACTAGAGGGTTTTACAAAATCTCTGTTTAGTTTATAATCTAGAAAGCATTTCTAGGTTTCATGACTATACCTATAAATCTGCTCTTTGTGTTCACTTGTGCTAGAGGACACATTAATTGTGAAAGAAGAAGAAGAGAAGAAAGAGAAAAAGAAAGAAGTAGTAAACCCTAATTAAATTGGGCACAATCGGACCGAAAATACGTGATTGTACAATTTGTTTACTTCAACACTAATATGTATTTTTAACAGCACTTCAGCCAAGCTTAAAAGTGTGATTAAAACACACGTCTGTAGCACTGAAATTTGCGTTTACACCAGAAAATGATGCATCTCGTCTTCCCCAGGTGCTGGTGCGGCCTTAGCAGAACAGCTCATGGCGCCAACATCGTCACCGCTAACCCTGGAGAGGCGTGGGTACCAGCTCGGCACACGCAAGCCGGCCCTACAGACGCTTACGGGACAGTCGAGTTTCAGGGCGGGCCACATCCAACTAAAGCCCAGGTAACAATTGCTCATAGATGACCGGATCTTTCCACCTATTGCTGCTAGTAATCGCCATGTTATCAATTTAAGGATGACAAACTTACAAACCCTAATGATAAGTGGTTGCAATCTTTAAAGGTCACAAGCCATGGCAGGTTTTTTTTATTGCCCTTCTAGGCAGACGTGCATATGGCTCACCTCATGGTGAGTGGTTACCGTCGCCCATGGACTTCAGCAATGCCAGGGACAGAGCCAAGCCGCTGCCTATCGCATATCGGTATCGCTCAAGTTTTTGTTACTACCGTTTAAAAAAGAATATGTCTTGCGCTTCAAGAAATAGCGCTGTGTGCAGATATTTCTAAAGCTGGATGATTGTGTTATTTGGGAAAGCACTAATAAACCGTGACCAGGATGCGGGTGGTGTGATGAAAGAAATGATACCGAGATCACCTTAAGCAATAAATAACACTGTTAGATTAGTAACACAGAGCCACCTATAATTTCTCAATCCCATATAACTTCAGAATGAATATAAGGCTGAAATGCAACAGTACCAATGCTGACCAACCAGTATTAAGCAGTTACTGCTTTGCTAGTTTCACTATTTAATGATGTATATTTAGATAAAAGATATGAAACTACCTTATTTTTTACAGTACGTGCGGCTATCTCACGACACCAGGCCTGAGTTAATAGTCCAACTTTTGACCAGAGAGTGGGCTCTGGACAGGCCAAAACTCCTCATCACTATACAAGGAGGCAAAGCAAACTTCGATCTACAGCCCAAACTCAAGAAAGTGCTCAGAAAAGGTCTGCTCAAAGCCGCTAAAACAACCGGGGCGTGGATATTCACCGGCGGCACTAATACGGGTACGTAGAAACTGTCAGTTATAGCGTGTGTCAGTTATGTCACCTGTCACTTGTTCAGATAAGTTTTTTAAGCTATTACATAGCTTTTATCGCAGGCTTTGAGCGCGGCGACCGAATCAATACATTCCGTAACGAAAATAAAACCTAACACCCCTACTCCGCCTACCATGTAGCTCGCGTTCAACACATTCACACGTTGCGCTTGTGTAGTGTTTGTGAATAAGCGCGCGGCGTGACGTCGCACTGCATGCGCATCATGAAAAGTCTGCCCATCTCTCTCTCGCTCGGTCTAGCTTATGAGTGTGAAGGGGACAGTTAATGTTTTGCTTTTATTAATGTTTATAAATATAGCGTGGTCTAATTTTATAATTGTTTTATTATTAAATTATTATTGTCTAATGATAATTGCATAAGTTGATAAAAAATGCTATGCAATAGCTTTACCGCGGCAGTCCCCGAGTGCCACACGTGTTTTTTGTAGTGTTAATTTCGGTGCCAAAGGATTTTAATGATATGGTAACTATATACGGACGCTATCTTTTCGAGCAACTGCTAATATGACTATGACTTCTCTTTTGTTCCTACCTAATTATCTCATAGCCTTGAGAGGTTTTGTGGTTTAACTTAAATGTTAGGCAAGATCTCGGGGCTTAGCCATTTGCCATAGGAGCGCTTCGCTGAATCTATGACCAGATCGGAATGGCGACCCACTGAGAAGATCCAGTGGGAAACTCTGTAAATTTGTCCTTTCATTATGTGACTGGACTTTTACTGGTAGTAGGACCTCTTGTGAGTCCGCACGGGTAGGTACCACCGCCCCGCCTATTTCTGCCGTGAAGCAGTAATGCGTTTCGGTTTGAAGGGTGGGGCAGCCGTTGTGACTATACTGAGACCTTAGAACTATATCTCAAGGTGTGTGGCGCATTTACGTTGTAGATGTCTATGGGCTCCAGTAACCACTTAACACCAGGTGGGCTGTGAGCTCGTCCACACATCTAAGCAATAAAAAAAAAAAAAAAAAAAAAAATCTCTATTTAACTCCTATTTTGAGTTATTTTAGCAAGGTGAATTATGTTCACAAGGTTCTGCACTATCACGGCTATTTCTAATAAAACTTTCGATTTCAATCTGTGGTAAAGTTAAATAAAATTGCCCGCTAAATTTTCTTTCATTAACGTCTAAATGATTTCATTATAGATCAAACTCAAAATGAATATTAATAAAACAATTTAGTTCAAAGTAAAATAGAGTTAGTTAGTTATCCGGAACAAACATTATTTCCTTTAGAATAAATTCTTGTAACGAATTAATTTATTGAAATTAATTAGCTTTGTATAATATTATTTATCTGAATACATTATTTTTGTTGTCTTCGTGACTGAATTCTGCTTTAGACGCCCGTGACTGTTCTTAGGTATAAATGGCCGCGTCGATGGCAGCGACATACATACATACATATATCAATACAACGTTCTTTTGTTACAATACTTATAAAAGCTAAGCTTTATTACACATGAATTACAAATAAAACGGGCGTATTTTGTGATTTTTACGGCTCATGTATGAAAGTGGGTGGGTATCCAACACCACATGAGGTTATTAATGAATAATTATTTTTTCGATAAATTTTAATTTAATTGCAAATACATGTTAACCCCTTAGGTAATCCGAATCCAATGCCTGTATAATTGAAAAGCATCAGTCGCAAATTATGATAAAGATATAGGTGCACAATCTTAATTCTACTAGCTTGGAATGTTCTAGATAGAATTCAGAATCAGGGACACGTGGCTTTGTGAAAGGAAAGCCACCTAACGATGTAAACGTGTAGGCGTTCTCGTTCTGAAATACGAGCGCATTGGATTTTAATGTGAAAGCATGACGTAGTCGCTTGCAAAAAGAATTTTAAATCGTTCGTCCACGATTAACTGATGTGAAATGAATAGTACAATCTTAGAATGTCATTTGTTTGTTGTTCTATGTACTTAGGAAGAAGACCCATTGACTTCGCGAAAGACGCCATCTATTTTGAAACATTAGTCTCAATTTTATGACTGTTTCGGTGTAGACATTAGAATTTAGAAGTCGCCATGGCCTAAAGGATAAGACGTCCCGTGCGGACACACAGGATGACCTACCACCAGCCATTACGCAAATTATAATTTTGCGGATTTGATTTTTATTACACGACGCTATTCCTTCACCGTGGAAGTCAATCGTGAAAATTTGTTGAGTGCGTATTTTATTAGAAAAATTTGTACCCGCTTGGGATTCGAACACCGGCACTGTTGCATCGCTCGATACGAGTACACCGGACGTATTATCCTTTAGGCCATGAAGTTTTTGTACTGGATTTACTTCTGCTGCTCATAGCACAGTCCGGGTATAACCATACTTACATGCGAGTGGTTTTTGACCTAAAGAATGAGACGCTTGGAAAACCTAATTTACCATCGTTTATTGATGGGCAATATACATTTCGTCTTTTTTTTATTTTTAATATTTGTTAACAGGTGTGACCCGTCAAGTTGGAGACGCGTTGCAGTTGGAGAGATCCCAGCGGGCAGGTCGCGTGGTCAGCATCGGAATAGCGCCGTGGGGTATCGTCGAGGGGGCCAACGAGCTCATCGGGAAAGGGCGAGATGTGCCTTACCACGCTATCGCTTCTCCCAGGTAAGTTTTGCAACTACCCTCCCTGTATGTATGTTTTTTCTATACGGAGCAGAGTCCCTTAAAGCGGCTGATCGCAAACGCGTTGATTCTTTTGAGATGTGGTGCTGGAGAACCGGATACCTTGGACAACGAAGAGAACCGATCTATCTTAGACCTACTGTAGATCAGGACAAGTCTGTCATCACTGTCCATACTCTACCTTCGCCACGCATTCGAGTACTTCGGTCATATAGCTCAGAAAAAACCGGATAGCTTAGAGAGACTATTCGTGACAGGTAAGATCGAGGGAAAGAGACCGCGCGGGCGCAGTTCGACAAGGTGGTTTGACCAAATCCGCACCATACTTAGAGATCCCATTCCACGAAGCCCTTCATGTGGCCAATGATCCGAGGCGCTGGAGCGACATTACAAGGAGTAAAATCCTATCGAAATATGACGGTCGCGACCCTCAGCAGTGAGGAAACGACGCGAGGAGCAGGACCTGTATGTATCCAGTGTCTTGACGGATTAATTTTTGGGAAGTGAAAACTTCTGGACACCATCATGATATGAAAATCGATGAAACGTAAATGACATTCGAAGATCGTCACTAAAAAGAGACAAACATATTATTTTGTTGGTACGAGTAACGCCACCTGTCGCTAAATAGCAGAAACGTATACTAAAATGACTAGCACTATCGGAAATGTTCTGGAAAACTGTACACAGGTCTTGTATAAGTTAACGCCACCAAGCCAGGGGGACCGGCCATCTTAAGCGACTCTACCTATCACTGGCAGCAGCCCAGCGCCTTCCAAGACGCTACTTAAATTGTTCAAGTACCCTCACGCTCTACTAATACAAAAACAGCGTATTTTGGAAATTTTCAGTCGACCGGTTGTTTTCTCATAGATTCCTTCACCGGTCCCTAACATAAATGAACGTCAGAGTTTCAACTGATACAGCATGTAATATACAAATCGCGAACAGCTTCAAACCCACGGTCTACGTAGCAACTATTTCCGTTCGGTTTGAGCACTCCTTCGTAGAATAAAACAAATCATTGCGGGCTTGTCTTTTTAAAAATTCAATAATACATTTGTTGTTTTTGTTAATTAAAGTGTTTCTGTCACTTTAATTACACTTATCAAGGCTTCGTGACAAAGTTGATTGGTGTTGTGGTATTATTTTATGTACGCTATTTGAAGACCTTAATTAGATAAAATCATAAACGAAAGTCGCATCTGTAAAATGGTGAGAAAACCAGAGAGAAAATATACTTTATTGCACACCAAAACACAATTAACATTTAAAAAAACAGTCAACAAGCAGATATAGTAATACAATAGACGGTGTTATCGCTAAAAGCAATCTCTTTCAGACAACCGTTATATGTACAGAAATTCTGAAAAAGATAAAGATACAGCTGGCATGTTGCGGTGTACTATTAACAAAACATTATTAAAGAAAATACATATGTGCCTACCTACATGAGCTTCCATAAAAACCTGGTGTTTTTGAGAGATGAACATTTTTTATATTCAGTCCACGCTCAAACCCACGAAAACAAGTAAAGTCACTGCGCGTCTCACTATCCAAACATTCCAAATGTTTGACCTTTCTTGAACTTGGACTGTACATACTAAAAGGAAAATGTCAATCTGTAAGATGAAAGTCGAAACGGTGCAATTATTGACGTGACAACGTCTTATAATTCGATGGAGCCGGCTGCACGCACGAAAAAACATGACTCGTGCGGCGTTACCTCGCTCTGAGGCGTTCCATTTAAGGCTTGAAGTGCAAGCGAGAGCGCGCAACGAGCGACAAAGAGGCACAATCGGCCTCCGCGTTCGGCAGCGTTCGACATCTGTCTCTCTCCTACTCGAGTGAGCGATGCATCCGCGTGGACAGCTGCTATACAATAATACATTTACATGTTTTCGTCAAGTATGAAGTTCAGTGAAAAGTGAATGTGGTGTCAATTGTTTATAGCAACGATAATTGCGATAATTGAAAAATGAAACCATTCCATCAGTATTTTCTTATGACGTTGGCACGTTCAACTATCGTCAGTAAACCGACTTTACAGACTGCCGATTATTTTTTTAATAGCTTTGATGGCTGAACAAGCTCACAGCCCATCCGGTATTAAGTGGTAACTGGAGCCCGTGGTTATCTACAACGTAAATGCTGCCACCCACCCGGAGACATGAGTTGTGACGTCTCAGTTTTAACAGTACAACGCTTGCCCCGCCCTTTAAACCGAAACGCATTACTGCTTCACGGCTGAAATAGGCAAGGTGAAGGTACCTACCCGCGCGGACTCACAATACGTCCTACCAACAGTAAAATATAGCCAACACTGAAACAGTCACGGTTAAGACAGCGCATTACAACATCGAATAGTTTTAAAATTTCCACTCACATATCAATATGGGCGGTATTTGCTTTGTAATGCCAGTGAGCTCCTATAATCTAATATAATTATGTAATAACAGTAAATTGTTCATTACCATTACCATTCGTGTGGTAAATGGCAGATCAGCTATCTGCTGCTGTATAAATAAAGTTCCTTCAACAGTCGTTTAAAGGAAATAAATATTACAACAAATTTTCATATTCTTTTTACTTTATTTATCAGCAATAGACAAAACTTTTTGTCTTATCAATAAAAATGACTAGCCGTACTCGCGCGCTTCGCTGGGCATTTAAAATTAACATTATTATTTATTGTCATTATTATTAGGGAGTCCAACACTCATGTAAATATTAGCCTATCCATTAAGTACATGTATTTTCTATATGGATACCAAGTTTCAAGTCAATCGGATGCATGGTTCAATAGTTATAACGGAGCATCCATAAAAACCACTGTAGATTTATATATTAGTATAGATATGAAAATCGATTTCAAAATTTAAAAAACAAAAGAGAAAATGAAAAATATTAAAAGGAAACAAAAACTTGAAAGCAGCTATGTTAGTCGAACTTCGATCATTGGGCGAACACAGTATTAATAAATTATTTACCCTTGAGAAAAGACGCCGACTGAAAATGATTTTTGGCTGGGATATTTTCGCACAGCTTCGCAACTTCGCCATTATAGTTCCAACTAAACTCAAATACATTAGGCACAAGGAGCAAATCAAACAGAAAAATGGAGCAGGTTTGCAAAGAACGGCCAGTTAAGTCGACAGATACATTCTTTTATAGACTTATGGATTGGGATTGCTAATGGACCTCGAGATCTTTCTGTCTTCACTAGAACGGGGCGTGACAGAGCCTCTGCACCTGACCGGGTTGCATAACGATCACGATAACGATTTTCGTGTCATTTTCATGACATGCGTCTGTTTAACATTTGACAAAACTATTTTATGCCCCTACCTATTCGCTGGTAGCGTAAGACACTATTCCGGATACGCCCGGCCGGAGAGGTAAGCTCACGGGCTCAACCTGAGAGAATTTGCTAACACTAGTCCTAGCCAGAGCAGTGCTTCGCTGAATCTACCACCGGATCGGAATCACGACTCACTGAGAAGATCCGACGAGAAACTCAGTGGGCTGTGTCTATGGGTTAGTTTACTCGTCAATTACGACGAAGAATTCAAAGAGCGAACTAACCTGGACGGTGCTTGAGATCCCCAAAAGCACCACAAAACGTATAATATAATATGTAAATATAATAAAAATTTTGGGGNACCTGACCGGGTTGCATAACGATCACGATAACGATTTTCGTGTCATTTTCATGACATGCGTCTGTTTAACATTTGACAAAACTATTTTATGCCCCTACCTATTCGCTGGTAGCGTAAGACACTATTCCGGATACGCCCGGCCGGAGAGGTAAGCTCACGGGCTCAACCTGAGAGAATTTGCTAACACTAGTCCTAGCCAGAGCAGTGCTTCGCTGAATCTACCACCGGATCGGAATCACGACTCACTGAGAAGATCCGACGAGAAACTCAGTGGGCTGTGTCTATGGGTTAGTTTACTCGTCAATTACGACGAAGAATTCAAAGAGCGAACTAACCTGGACGGTGCTTGAGATCCCCAAAAGCACCACAAAACGTATAATATAATATGTAAATATAATAAAAATTTTGGGGCATTTGACTGAAGGATCAAAAAATCATCCTGGGCATGTCCATGAATACATTTCGCGCCTTATTATCCGTTTCTGTGTTCTGAAAGGATGGCTTTAGCTCCAATACAGATTCGATCTAAAGCTACATACAATATGGGTAACGTAAATATTCTAGTGCCTATGAACTTACCTCGAATGGCCACTTAAGACCCGGTAATTAATGACCTTATCTGGCGCTCGTCACAAGTTGACACGTGTCCGCTCTCTTCTGCTTCAGAAATAGAATTCACGTTTGTAAATAATAAAACGGGATTAAATCATGTCAAAAAACTTTTATTCCAATCTCATTCGCCTGAAGTGCGCATCCACCAAGCGGTTCAATGGACTAAATAAATTTTTCGTTTGAATGCTTCTGAACGCAAAAACAAAATCTATTTCCAGATTTAAAAAATAACGATGGATTTATGTCGGGGACCCTACAATGACTAAAATGCCATGATGTTCGATTCTAAAAATCAGTTTTTTTACTAAAGTTCAAAATGAGCACAATATTCAAATATCTACGAATGGCGCCTTAGTTGTCCGTGAACAAGAAACCAATAAATTATAACTCACTAAGTTTCTCGCCGAATCTTCTCAGTGGGTCACGATTCCGATCCGGTGGTAGATTCCGCGAAGCACTACTTTTGCTGGGACTAGTGTTAGCAAGCTCTTTCAGGTTGAGCCCGTGAGCTCAGCTACCTGTCTCAACGTACCTGGCTCCTTTGCTACCAGCGAATGGGTAGGAAAAATATTGCAAAATTGGTGCATTGCTGCTACCTTTCGTCTCTTAGATATATCTCAAACACACTCATCACACATCATTGATAAACTATGCATTTAGGGAAATAGACAAAAACCTTGTTCCTTTTAAAATACAATAGAACCATATCCTTCGAGCCGTCAATCTAACCTCAGAAAAACCTCCCCTGTTTTATTACGCTACAACATACATGCAACTTTTCTATTTATCTTCCATCTTAATTTTAGAGACTGATTTACAAACAAACAGACCCTACAGTATAATTACTTAAGACCACAGTAGACTTTTCTTTCCAAAAACACATCGGTCCGTCCATTCATGAATCATTCGTAACGCGTACGCTATTATCCCTAGAATTTGTCAACCATTGCGGGATCTTGATTTACGGTCGCTTCATCTCGTGAAAGTTGGGGAGATTTTTATTCTTATAGAGAACTACTTGGGCATTCGTGCGCAATAAATACCGCTTTGAATAAGCACGCCAATTCACGAAGCTTATATGCATGGTGTCAAGTGTTCTTAAGTTTTTAATAAGGGCTTTATTGTACAAAAGCAGAATACTTATCGGTTTGAGAAGTTCATACTTCGTAGATCCGTTCTTAAGCACCCTATTCTTTTTACTTAGGACGGCTTTAACTAAAGCTTTGAAGAGTAGGTTTTAGGACTTTGCGGAGGTACGCAGCTTGGTTGTGTCCCTGACGTTGCTGACAACTATGGGAATTCGCCCTTCAGTTAAAACATACCTTAGNTACCGCTTTGAATAAGCACGCCAATTCACGAAGCTTATATGCATGGTGTCAAGTGTTCTTAAGTTTTTAATAAGGGCTTTATTGTACAAAAGCAGAATACTTATCGGTTTGAGAAGTTCATACTTCGTAGATCCGTTCTTAAGCACCCTATTCTTTTTACTTAGGACGGCTTTAACTAAAGCTTTGAAGAGTAGGTTTTAGGACTTTGCGGAGGTACGCAGCTTGGTTGTGTCCCTGACGTTGCTGACAACTATGGGAATTCGCCCTTCAGTTAAAACATACCTTAGCTTAACCTGAATGTAAACAATATCAAACTAAAGTACATCTATGCTTTTTTATTGCCCTTGTAGGCAGACGAGCATACGGTCCGCCTGATAGTGAGTGGTTACCATCGCCCATGGAATTCAGCAATGCAATAAAAAAAGTAATGAAATATCACAATAAACATTTTTTTTGTATGCAGTAAGGATTATTGATGGCCCGAAGGCTTTTGCAATTTCTCCAAGACAAGTGGGCGAGCAAAGGTTCAGCTAGGAGGAACGGGATTTGCTAACAGCTGCCCGAACGCCTCTAGAGGAGACCTAACAACACAAGAGCAGCTGCTTCGCGAATGAATCTAATTCTAAAAATATTGTTACGCACTGGGGTTTGGGATAAATAAATGTTCCACCAAAGTACAACTTAAATCTGTATTAGCACTAAGAACATTTAAAACACTCCACAAACACTTTAAAATTCTCAATTCACTTATTTCGCTTCGCTTCAGGTGATCCGTTCGATGTTTTGCTTTGAGTAGTTCCAATCACGGACTGACTGTGTGCTATCTCTGCAACGCTTTTATAGTCGAGACGAAATCCCTAAAATCGTCGAGAATATTCCACAAAAGTCGAGTATTGTGTGTTTCCGCTATCTGACAATAGATGACGTTGTACTTTTCGAGCGTTCTAGATGCTACTAGATCCTTCGATATTCGTTCGACTTTTCGGCGATAGATGGCTTTACTCTTACCGGCGTAGCAATATCATTAAATTATATTAACAGGACTAAGTATTTTACATTAGTTTAACTTATTGTATGACATTTGTCTAATTGGCGTCAGATTTGAAAGGGTCCGGGGTCATAATTGCCGTTGTTGACGTCAAACTATTAGTCTGGGCTTGGAATAGAACATCGTTGATCAACTTCTCAGCCAGGACCCTCATGTTGTTCGGTAGATACCTGAGTTTGGCGGCCACATTAATACCTGCTGAGACAAACAAAGCCGTATCAGTAAAGTTTTAGTGTTTAGTCTCTTGAGTCCCACTGCACATCATGATGCGGCATGACTTCAATATAATTTAAATTTTCTGAGATGCTTGCTTTATTAATGATTGTAGAGCTTATTGTGTACTAATATAGAGTTACTTATTTCTACGGCCATTTAGTTATTCGCTTCGATTTTAAGGGTGGGATAAAGGGATTTAATATAATAAATTAAATAAATATAAATAGCTGTGAACCAATCACGCATGGTCATCCGTATCCTAAGTTAGGATTCCCTGTGTTATGGGTACCAAAGACTGGCATACATACATATATATATATAGGTAGATAATAAACATTTAGACAAAGAGCAAACAAACCTGTTGATCACACGAATGTTTGCCCGATCAGGGAATAGAACCCACTACACTCGGTGCAACAGTCAGTATTGCTAACTACTCCACCAGTGAGTCAGTTTAAATACTAAATATCATAATTATAATATTATATTATCTATGTATATAAAAATGAATTGCTGTTCGTTATTCTCGCTAAAATTCGAGAACGGCTGAACCGATTTGGCTAATTTTGGTCTTGAATTATTTGTGGAAGTCCAGAGAGTCCAGTCCAGAAGTCGTCGTGGCCTAAAGGATAAGACGTCCGGTGCATTCGTATGTTGCGATGCACCGGTGTTCGAATCCCGCAGGCGGGTACCAATTTTTCTAATGAAATACGTACTCTACAAATGTTCACGATTGACTTCCACGGTGAAGGAATAACATCGTGTAATAAAAATCAAACCCGCAAAAATTATAATTTGCGTAATCACTGGTGGTAGGACCTCTTGGGAGTCCGCACGGGTAGGTACCACCACTCCGCCTATTTCCGCCGTGAAGCAGTAATGCGTTTCGGTTCGAAGGGCGGGGGTAGCCGTTGTAACTATACTGAGACCTTAGAACTTATATCTCGCGGTGGGTGGCGCATTTACGTTGTAGATGTCTATGGGCTCCAGTAACCACTTAACACCAGGTGGGCTGTGAGCTCGTCCATCCATCAATGCAATAAAAAA